TTAGGGTTTAGGGTTTGGCTTGGGGTCATTGGCGGGCGGAGTTTGTTTCTGGCAGGTTTAAAGTGAAAGGTCATAAACGTTATGCAAGCAGGATGAGGTTTAGCGGTTTGGTGAGCGAGTATATAGTTGGGCCATGCTCTTGGGGGACTGATAGTAGAAACCTTGCTTCCTACAGCATTGAATCCTTCTGGCGGAAGGTTGCACCCGAGACCCCCCAAACCCTAAACCCTAAACCCAAACCCCAATTCCAGAGACCCGAGCTGCTCCTGAGCTTCGACTGAGGAGTCGTTCCGATTGGGCTCAAGTTTGACAGGACCTAGGTTTTTGGGTTTAGGGTTTAGGGTTTAGGGTTTAAGGGTTTAAGGGTTTAGGGTTGAAGCTTCATAGCTTGACCAAGGTACCTTATTTGTGTAAAGCCTTCATGGACCGGTGGTTGTGTTGGGAGAAAGTAGGCTGACATCAGAAGCCTAGAATTTCCCCATCCTTTCGAAGCCAGTGCTGCGCTGTCGAACACCTGCAGGGAGGTAAAAGCTTGTGGGTGAACTGGGGAACAGCTTCCGTTCGAAGAAGCATTCACGCATTGGAAGCACTTTGATGTTTTTGGGCATGCTGCGACGGCTTGCTACACGAGACCACACGGAGAAGGCCCAAAACCAGCTGCCATGAAGTAATATAGGGATTAGAATAGGGTTTGGGGGTATACTATACTAGAATTACAATTATAGTAAGGTACCCCGAAAACCCTATTCTAATTATGTTAGGCCCCTACATTACACCCGAATTCTTGGACTCCCCCGTCTGAGATCCTGAACCCCTGGACTGACAACAAAGCCCAAAACCTGTAATGGAGGGGTTCATCATAATTAGAACAGGCTTTTGGGGTCTCCCCATTGTAATTATAGTATAATATACCCCCAAACCCTATTCTAATTATTAAGGCCCCTATAGTATATACCCGCTGGACCCCTAAACCCTAAACCCTTACACCCTGATGGAGCTGATTTGGAAGGTCGTCCTTGCCGCTGTGCAACAGGACGGCTGTGCGCTGCTGTGTGCCTCCCAGGCTGTCAAAAAGGTTAGGGCTTAGGATTTAGGGTTTAGGGTTTAGGGTTGTAATGTAGAGGCCTGAATAATTACCTCTACTTTTTTGAAGGGGTCCTTATGCTAAGTATAGTATAACGGGCCCCAAAACCCTATTCCAATTTTAATTAAGGCCCCTATATTAGGTTTAGGGTTAAAGGGACTTCTAGGATTATAGGCTCGAAAAATGCACAGGTATAGGGGTTCATGGTGTCTCGAGCCAAACCTCAACTCAGCGGTGCTGTTGGTTTCGGTTGTCTATCGGCAGGCTGCTAACCCTAAACCCTAAACCTTAAACCCTAAACCCTAAACCCTAAACCCTCAACCCTAACCGATGACTCTACAATCAGGGTCCATGGTCATTTTAGGGTTTGGGGTTTTGGGTTTAGGGGTTTAGGCTTTAGGGTTCAGGGGTTTAGGGTTTAGGGTTTAGGGTTTAGGGTGGTGCGGCCTGCTACTTCGAATGCAAAGGGCACCGAGTTGTCTTCCTGCGCAGTCTTGGCAGAGGAAGGATAGTCAATGTGTCGACACTGCAATGTTCCGCGGCTTGTATCCTTACGAGCTGTGCAACTATGCTGGGCCCGCATAGTTTCAGCATTCCAAATTCCGAACATGTCACACGTGTCGAGAATTTGCGAAGGTAATCCTCTTGTCCTAACTATTGGCCGCGGAACGTGATTCCTGGTTTCGTACAGGTGTCGATACCTGGTGTCCATCTGTCACTGCGCAGTAATTCATGAGTTGTTGTTGCTCCACGCTTTGCAACAAGTCCTCCCACGTTTCTCCATTGAAGTCCTTGCTGACTTGCGTCGCGACCACTGAAGCTTCTGCATTGCGAGGCACGGATCCAGGTTCCCAAGCCGCAGAACACGCGTCATAAAAGCCTCTGAAGCCTCAAGACTCAAGCGCCCACACCCGCAATCGCAAAACCCACACCTCAAACCCCTGAAGCTTAAGGCTCGCACTCTATGAGTGTCTGTAGCCTAAGACCCAGACCCTCACGAAACCCTATACACCCCATGCCCTATAAAACGCAGGACAGTGGGGTGTGCTCGATTTGGTTTTCGGAATCGGAGTTCTTAGCATATGTGTTGCAGGGCATGTTTAGGCAGTACAGTCTCAGGGGTTTGTGGTTTAGGGTTGCGCATGTCAGGAGAACGTTTTGTAGTGCATGTTGAGGTTTCAGGGGATTTGGGGGTTAGGGTTTCAGGTTTTGAGAAAAGCTTTGTTCGGGACGCCGGCCTCACGTACGCAGCTGTTATCTCAACGAAAAGATCACTAGCAGCTCAAGCGCTGCTTCGAGACACTCCAGATGTGAGAAGCTTCCATAAATCCGACACCCAAATATAGATTTAGGGTTTAGGGTTTAGGGCTTAGGGATGCACAGCACGAGCCTTGCTTAAAGACCACCAGAGGGACCCCTCTGTTCAAGAATTCTCTGCATGTCGTGATTATAGTCGCTTCGACGTGAGACGTGCATTGTCATAACTGCTGTTCAATGCCCAGGACTTCTACATGAGCATCAGATTTGCCAGTATCTCGCAACATCAAAGCCAAGAGAAAACAGACACAGTTGAGATGCCGCACTATCGCCACATCTTCAATCTCACCTTAAGCCCCTAAGCCAAAGCCTAAACCCCAACATGGTTGCCGTTACCTGGGGCACGGGCTGGAGAGCTCGTGTTCAGGGATAAAATTCTATAATATGCCCTATAGTTTCTTGGTGTTCTTCTGGTTGGCTCTCTAGACTTTAGCTTTTTGGGTTTCTATATGAACCATAATAAGGAGACTAAAAGTTTAACTTTTTGGGAGGGGTTCAGAAGTAAGCCAAGGTTTCCAAGCCCTAAATACCCGACTGCCAGAAGGCCGTAGACCCTAAGACACTACCTACACCCTAATAAATTATAGTAAAGAACCCAAAACCCTAAACCCTAAAAAATGATAGTAAATAACCCAAAACCCTGAACCCTAAACTGAATACATACCAAGTTTGAGGCGGAGAACCTTTCCCATTGCAGGCTCTACGCATGAACCGCGAAGTTGTGCAAGAGGCGAGGGATTTGCTGTCAGGATTAAGGGTTTAGGGTTTAGGGTTTAGGGTTTAGGGTTTAGGCAGGTTTGGGGTTTATGGTTTTAGACTTCGGCTTTAGGCTATGTGGGTTGTGAGGCCCTAACCCCCCAGGCACCTACTATATAGGCTACTAGAGCCCCTAGGGCCCTATATAGTAGGTACCTGGGGGGTTAGGGAGCTACATTCGTGCCTTCCATTTTGATTTAGGGTTGCGGCCTTATGTTCTGCATCTAGAGTGTGAGCTGTCTTGCATGTGAGAAGGCCTCATTTTTGCTGGCACAGGTTCCGGGTTTAGAGGTAGTTGAATTTAGGCAGACTGTCTTCCTGTACAATCCACTCATCGTGAAATTTGATGATATCAACCGGCATGGGAAACAAGTAGCCTCATGTGCCGTAACACTTACGTCCACGGACAGATCTGTGCCTTTATAATACACACTCATGCATGTAGTAGTCTCAGTTCCATTAAGTTGTTGACCTGTGCATTGATATTGGCATTCCTTTGTTGCTTAGATTGCATGCTTAAAAGAAGCACAAACACAACTTAGCCCGCTGCCTAGATTCGCCGATATTCGTACTTATCTGCACAACCACCAGCAGGCATGTTGTGGCGCCCTAAACCCTGTAGCCTATAACCCGTCAGCCCTACGCTCAGCACCCCAAAACCCTACACCCTGGTACCTTGCATACTTAACCCTAAACCCTAAACCCTAAACCCTAAACCCTAAACCCTAAACCCTAAACCCTAAGCCCTGCCTTGCATGTTTAGCCCTGCGGAGGCCGTACGGCAAAATGGCTTGGCGCTGCAGCAAGCCAGCGAGGCTTTGGGCTTTGGGGTTTAGGGTTTAGGGTTTAGGGTTTAGGGTTTAGGGTTTTGGTAAGAGTCGGGGCTACTGTCAAGGCTGCAACGAGCATTATTACAGTCCAAGAGAGCACCTAAACAGAAACTATCGAAACCTATCCGCTCGCTGGGAGAGTACCCTGCGGAACTATCGAAACCTATCTGCTCGCTGGGAGATTACCCTACGGAATTTGTGTGCAGGTTTTTTTGGGGGTGCCCTAGGGGTTTAGGGAGGCTTAAGGCTTGGCACAAGGGCATGTGAGGTCAAAACTTCATTGGCTTCCAATTCAGCTTCCTGTAAGGTGGTTGCGCGGTTGAGCCTTGCGGCTGTCGCTTTGGGTTTGGGTTTAGGGTTTAGGGTTTGGTTTAGGCTGTCGCTTTGGGTTAGGGCTTGCAGTTGCAACAGCAGTGGCTGCAATACAGGGGCCTGAATGTTAATGATTAGTAAACATTCTTGCTCAGGTTTCCAAATGATAGCTGTAGTACAAACCTCCAAGTCTGTGTTTGAATGATGAAGGCCCCCGGTACTAGCTACGAGGAGCAGCAGCAGAGGCAACGGTAGCAGTGATGGCAGTGGTGGCGCTCGAAAGGCGTTTGTGCTGGCAGGCATTCGCAGTACTATTCCTTCTGGTTCCTCATTCGTCATTGTCAATGCCATACCAAACTCTCAAGCCCCACTCTCGTAATGGAGGCCTCTTCAGAACAAAAAAGAAGCAAGGACCCTGAAGAACCCTTAAGGAACCTACTAGTATAGGGTTCCTTTCCGGGTCCTTTAAAGGATCGTTTAAGGGTTCCTTTCAGGGCTTAAGGGAGCTATAAGGTCTAAACCCTAAACCCTAAACCCTCAACCAAAGGCTCCTTTGAGGGATCTATAGCATTCCTCAATTAAGGAATCTATAAGGTTCCTGTAAGGCCTCCTTTAAGGGCTCCTTTAAGGGCTCCTTTCAGGGATGTATAGCGCTCCTTGATTGGGATCTACAAGGTTTCGTTAAGTCCTCCTTTAGGGGCTCTTTTAAGGGATCTGTAGCGCTCCGTAAGGGATCTATAAGTCTTTTTTACAGGCCTCCTTTAAGGGCTCCTTTAAGGGATCTATAGCGCTCCGTAAGGGTGAGGCCTCCTTTAAGGGCTCCTTTAAGGGGCATAGGAGCTTTTCGGAAGGAGCTCCAAGCGGATCCCGAGCTGCGGCGCGAAGCTGAGGAGGCGGTGTGGGGCTTTGGAGTTGTGGGTTCAGGTTTTGGGCTTTTGGGGTTTAGGGTTTAAGGGAGGTGTGGGGTTTAGGCTTTAGTGTTTAGGGTATCTAGGGTGAGCCCTAATCCCCACAGTAACCCTGAAACACTTTCAACTCTTCTGATCTCTTGGATTCCGGTGCTCATTACCTCCCTCCCTCGTTGTTGATTCCGTTTTTGCCCGCACTTGCAGCGTTTGCTCTCTGCGTTGCTGGCTGAGTATGTGCGGCTTGAAGCAAATTGAAGCTGCGTGTAACTTTGCATGTGTATTTCCAACTATGGTATTATTAGTCCACACATGATTCTCCAAGAACCCTTGCCTGTGTAAAAACTTTACAAGGATCCTAAACAAAAAGCGACATATCTCAAAAGCCCCACACCCCAAGTCCATAAACGCTTAAGAAGCTGGATCCAGAAACCAGATACCCTAAACTCGTGTATAGCCTTTGCAGAGCCCAAGAACCCATCTCCTTTTTAACGCAGAAGCCCTAAACCCCCAACCACCCTAATCAAACCCTGAACCTTATAAACCCTTAAACCCTAAACCCGCCTAATGCAGAGAAAACAATCTCTAAACCCAAAGACCGGAATCAGGTGCTTCCCAGCCCTAAGCCCTAAACCTTACCCTAAACCCCGAAACCCCTGAACCTTAAATCTAAGGTAGAACCCGGCCCCTAGTATGAGACCTTAACCCTGGGACCCTAATATACCTACTACATACCCTATATATATATATATATATATACCCTTAAGGAACCCTAGAATCCCCTAAGGGCCCATGTTAGGGGCTCATGGGTTCAACCAGACTAAACCCTAAACTGAGATTCTTCGGAGCCCCTGAGAAGGCTGAGTCTCGCCGGGGAAATCCGCGAAGGCGCCTCGAGAGCACGGAGAAGGTGGGAGAGGGTTTAGGGTTCAGGGTTTGGGGTTTAGGGTTCAGGGTTTAGGGTTTAGGGGGTAGGATTTAGGGTGCCTTAGGATCCAGGCGTTAGTTACAGTTTTTAGGGGTTCTGGGGGTTTTTAAGCTTTCGTTTGAGGTTTTAGGGTTTAGGGCTTTGAGGCTTTGGGAGTTTCGGGGCTTAGTTTCAGTCAGTTTTTTTTGAGCTTTTAGGAGTGAGGGGGTTTAGCTTCAGTTTTTAGGGTTCTGGGGTTTTAAGGCTTTAGGAATTTAAGGTTTAGGGTTTAGAGGCTATTAACCTTTAGGAGTTTCGGGGTTTTGCGGGTGACATAGGATGTAGGCTTTAGTTTTGGGGCTTTCGGGCTGTCGTACTTTTAGGGTTTTGGAATGGCTAGTTGTGGTCGTCGGGATCTTCTCCGAATGCGTCGATGCGCACCATCCCTCATAAGCCAAAGCATATCAAACACACTGAAAGCTTTGAACCAGACTGAAACCCTTAGGAATTGAAGCCCTAAGCCCTAAGCCTTGAACCCTGGTGGCTCTGTACTATTGACGTAAAAAGAGGCTCAACAAAAGAGGCCTTGAAGCCTGGAACTCCGGAACCCCTGACCCCGGGTTTAGGGTTTAGGGTTAAGGTTTAGGGTTTTGGTTTAGGGTTTAGGGTTTAGGGTTTAGGGTTTAGGGTTTAGGGTTTAGGGTTTAGGGTTAAGGGCTAGGGTTTAGGGCTTAGGGAATTGCAGAGGCTGTGTGAACCCTGGAGAGAGAGACCCAAAAACTTAACCCGAAAACTGGTGACAGATATACAGAACGTGCACCAATCTCAAAAAGAACCGCAAACCCCAAAACCCTAGCTCCTGAAATTTAAGCGTCCATACTGCATGTGTAGAGCTAGGTTTTCGTAGATAGATCGGTAGAAAGGTAGATAGGTAGATAGGTAGTAGATAGATAGATAGATAGATAGATAGATAGATAGATAGATAGATAGATGGGTAGATGGGTAGATGGNNATGGGTAGATGGGTAGATGGGTAGATAGATAGATAGATGGATGCATGGGTAGATAGGTAGATAGATAGATAGATAGATAGATAGATAGATAGCTAGATAGGTAGATAGATAGGTAGATCGACAGATCGATAGATCGGTAGATCGGTAGATCGATAGATCGATGGATGGACGGATGGATGGATGGATTGATGGCTGAATTGCTGGATAGCCGGATGGACAGATAGATAGATAGCTAGATAGCTAGCTAGCTAGCTAGCTAGATAGATAGATAAACAGATAGATAGATAGATAGATAGATAGATAGATAGATAGATAGGTGTGTATATACTTTTCGAGAGAAGGGCGAGAGCATCTGTACATTATATCTGTGGTGTCTTTTAAAGTATATTGTGCCTATTCGTGCATTGTGTGTGTATGTGGCGGGGGGAACTATTCCAAAAGTGAGGCGACCTCCAGCAAAAAGGCGTTGAGCCGCATGCCGTTGATGGGGAAGTTCAACTTGTCCGAGGAACAGTTCCATGAAGCTTTGGGGATATTGTGGCCTTGAAGAGCGAACCATTACTTGGCTCCGATTGAAGAGTGAGGCTTGTGCGGCAAGCATTGGTGACCGCTACATCTGGGCGGAGGACGCTCATACGAATGTGAGTGGCCCAAAGCCTAAACCCTAAGCCCTAAACCCTAAACCCTAAACCCTTAGCCCTAAACCAAAACCCTAAACCCTAAACCCTAAACCCTAAACCCTAAACTAAGCCCTATAGTTCGCACTCAAGGAAGGCGGGGATGCAGACGAAGACGAAGACCATGCTGTTTTCACGAGAAGCATGCGGAGGTTTGCAAATTTGGGGTTAAGGTAGGTTTTGGGGGATTAGGGCTACAGCTTCCGGTTTAGGGTTGAGGGTTTTTTGGGCTTAACCTGAGTTCAGAAGAACGGTGCACACATTCATCTTAAGGAAAAGAGCCCTAAAGCCCAAGAAACCCTAAACCCTAAACCGTAAGCTGTAGCCCTAATCCCCCAAAGCCCACCTTAACCCCAAATAACTTACCTTTTTAAGGACTTATATACAGAAATCATAATAAGGAACCCTGAAAAGGTAGGTTCTTTAGGGTCCAGGTAGCTCCTTAAGCCTAAACCCTAAACCCTAAACCCTACACCCTAAACCCTAATCCCTAAACCCTAAACCCTAAACCGTAAACCCTAACCCGAAGCCTATAATCCCTGATGCGACTCGAGGAGTCTGGCTGCCCAAAGACCACTTGCTGGAGCCAGCTTCTGGACCTCCAATTTGTGTCGGATTCTTTTGGGGTTCAGGGATTGGGGAATAGGGTTTAGGGATTTAGGGGTTTAGGGGTTTGGGGGTTTAGGGGGCGGGTTTAGGGTTTAGGGTAGGGTTTAGGGTTGGGTTTAGGGTAGGGTTTAGGGATTAGGGAATAGGGTTTAAATTCTTGATTTGGGTTTAGGGCTTAAATTTAGGGATTTGGGTTTAGGGTTTACATTTAGGAATTATGGTTTAGGGTTTAAATTTAGGAATTATGGTTTAGGGTTATGGTTTAGGGCCCAGAAAACTTGAGCATGGATTAAGGATGGCTAGTTCTGGGATTGCCTCTACTTCACCTTGCAGGCATGAGGATAATGGTGTTCCAACTTTCTGGCATCTGCAGGCTTTCGGTTTGGGGTTGAGGGAGCAGTGTTTTGAACTTTAGGGTTAGGGTCTAGGTTTAAGGCTCCTCGAAGAAAGCGCAGTCTGCCTAATGCCGAGAAACTTGTGGGTGGCACGGGCGTATACCTGTATCTAAATGATGCAGTAGCGCACACTGGTCAGCGACGTCACATGAGCTAATGCGAAGACCAAGACGTCCTTCACCTTCAAGTTTGTGCCCATCGTTCTTAAGGGGGACTGGCCTTACCTCAGGAAGGCCGTGCACGTAGGCACTGGATTCAAGAACAAGAGAAAGTGCCACTTTTGTGACACTACAGATACTTGGCGACGTCTAGCGCGCCAAGGCGAAGCCTTCCCTGGCAGACGCACCCGGCCGTCTTCGTGGGCAACCGGGATGCGAGACCAGCTGCACCGTGGCCACTCCGGTGGCCCAGGTGGCAAGAAAGCGAGTTTGAGCCACAACTGCGAAAACGCTGCGCAAAGCATCGCTTGAAGACTGTTTCACGGGGCTCTACCGGGTCGTGGCTCGGTACCTTCGGCAGCATGACTGCAGGTGCGGGCACACTGACAGGGACCTGAGTGAGACCACCCTAAACCATCCTGCACCCTAAACCATCCTGAACCCCTAAGACCCCTGAACCACTAAACCCTAAACTCTACAGTTAACCCTAAACCCCGAAACCCTAAAACCTAAGCTCATAAACCCTATGTAAACACTTACACTCTAAGCCCTGAACCCTCAACCCTGGACCCTAAAGTCTACATTCCATAGGTCATCCACCGGATAGTTTGAAAGCGATATGTGAGACTATTCTTGGGGTTACTTGTTCAGTCACTAAGGTGATGTTGCATTATGCTGTGATGTATGCCAGAGACCTATTTTATTGAGATAGCGCTTGCCGTGCCTGTGAAGATAAAGTGTGCAACTCAAAAGAATTCGTAAAGCCCTAAACCCTAAACCCTAAACCCTAAACCCTACCCCTATCAGGCCTTACTGCCTTGAGATGTTGACTGGGACGGCCAAGTCGTTCTGGGCCTGGCTCGGGTTTGGGGTTGTGACTTTGTCATAGTTGGGTAACATTTTACATTTTTAAGGGTACTTAAACCCAATAAGGAATATAAATTTAAACTTTTAATACTACCCCACCCATGAACTAGGTGAGCTTTGGGCTGTAGAGTGTTCGGTTTTAGGGTTTAGGGCTTGGGGGTCGTCGGGTCTGGGGTTTGGGGTTCAGTTTCAGGGTTTTCGGATTTAGCATGCTTGGGTCTATGTTACCCTAAACCCTGAACCGTAAACCCTATCTTGCGATATGGGAGTGGGTTCTAGTATGTTATGGCATACTATAGTTTGCTATTCCAGGAGGGTGATAGGACCTTTACCAAGCCTTTTTGAAGAGAAATACGAGCACTTCACTGCGTGCAGACACTCCGGAAGGCGCCAAACCAAGGGCTTGCAACCTACACCCTAAACCCTAATGTAGGGGCCTTAATAATTAGAATAGGGTTTTGGGGCCCGTATAAGGACCCCCCAGAATAGTATAGATAATTATAAAGGCCCCTATATTACCTTATTTTGACTTCTTTCATATAGGACAGGTAAACGATGAACGCCCGATTAAATAACACTCACCCCGAAAGTAGTTGGCCGAGTACATATCAAGAGCCCTATGTGCCCAAGGCTTCTTAATCAGTTTCCTTGATTTAAGAAGCTGTCTAAACCCTAAACCTTATACCATGGCTCTGCAGAATGTAACCTGTAGCCGCACAGTGCACAATCGATGTACCCTTTGCAAGCTTCGCACATCTCCCAAAACCCTATTCTAATTATTAAAGCTTCTACACGAGGGTTTATGGTCTAGGATTAGGGCTTCGGGTTTGTTGTCTAGGGTGTCGCACATTAGGTTCGGGGCTGAAGAAAGAATGCGGCCTGACGTATTCTTTCTTGTCACGATGACAGCGCGAACTCGCCAGAATACTTATGAAGTCCCTGAGTTTAGTAATGCCCGCAGGAGGATTCCCCAAAGACCGTGAACCCTAAGTTACGGCACTAAACCCTAAACCCTAAACCCTAAACCCCTAAACCCCTAAGCCCTAAACCCTAAGTTACGGCCCTAGGGGGACCTCCCACGACTTCATCACTCCCCGGCGTCAGCGCTGTGAGGGGCTCCTTGGCTAGCAGTTATCGTTCCGGGATTGAATCTGTGGTTAGGGTTTAGGGTTTAGGGTTTAGGGTTTAGGGTTTAGGGTTTAGGGGGTTTCGGAGGCTTAAGGTTTATACGGCTTCTAGGCTTTAAAGACTTTGCAGGCTTTATATGCATTGCAGGCTTTATCGGCTTGAAAGGCTTTCGAGGGCTGTATGGGCCTTGTAGGCTTTGTCGGCTTGAAGGGTTTTTGTTGGGCTCACTTGGGCTTAGTTATAGAGTTGTTGTTCAGAGTTGTTGTTGGTCTCGGACTGTCATGTCCGATGGTCATGAGCAAGGCATCTCCGAGAGAAACGTCAAGAAATGATTCGGCCCGGAAAATAGTAGCACAAGGCCTTCTTTGGCTGTAATTAACAGGTTCGACGAGTCGGTAATTATGGAAATTAGGGGTCCTTGCAGGAGCATGCAAGAGTTCAACAGCAGCATTCAGTTCCTTGCACGATCTTATGCAGCTGATATGCACGTCCAGGTACGCGCAGCAGCCCACCACGACCGTGGCCACGCTTTAGCAGGGCAGCCTCCGATTCCTTTGTGCAAAAACCACAGCCCTAAAGCTGTTAAGCCCAGAAGCCCTAAACTCAAAATCCGGATGCACGGAAGTGTCGGGCTTGTCTTCTTGGTCATAAATCCGTGTGCAGAGCTGGACCTGGGCAGTGTCGGTGCCTGAACCATGAGCAAAAGTATTCGTGGTTCGTCCCTTGTTCGTTATCGTAGAATATTCGGCAAAGGTACGTTGAATTCAGAAAGTCTTTGCAGAAGGATAGCCAGCCTAGAGTCTGAAACCCTAGAAGCCTACAAGTCAGTCAGGCTCTTACCCTAAACCCTAAGCCTTATACGGTGGCCGAGGGCCTCTGCTACAAGTGTCGAGCCAGAACTACTCGGACCCAGTCCAACGTCGACATCCCCAAATCGAGACTGCAATCTACAGGTCGTTAGAACAATGCTTTGAGGGGGGGAACCCTAAGGAATGTCATGGTTTAGGGTTCAGGGTTTAGGGTTTAGGTTCAATGGCAATGATATTTCTTAATCCAGGCCCCTATAGGAGCTGAGTAGGTAACCTCCACCGCCAATTCTCGGCAACAAAAAGGTGTTTACAGTTTCACAATTATGTGTAAGCACGAGCTTCTACACGACAATCTCTATGTCGAATGTTATGTGTATACATATATATATATATATAGACATATTTACATATATATATATATATATGTATGTATGTATGTATGTATGTATGTATGTATATATATATATGTATATATATATATATTCATACACACATGTTTGTATCTCTCTCCCTCTCTACA